TAACACTCTAGTCCTAGCTCTTCTCACTATTGTCCTACCAACATTAATATCCAACTCCTTTCTAATTATGTCCTTCAACAACACAATGTTGATGTTTGGCTGTTGAGTTATTCTTTCTTTGTATTTGGTGGCCAAAAACTTTGAGTTGCAAAGATAGTTATGAGTTGATGTCAAACATTTATGGACAGGGTTGTATGTTTTAACAATGACATCTCCACTAGTTTTATCCTTACTTGCACACAACAACCAAGGACAAGTCTCTTTACAACATCTCACTCTAACTCTGCCAGGCTCATTCACATATTTTTCAATTTGAATGTGTTCTTGGACTGCATATCTTGTCACTGCCACTCTAAATTCTTCAATAGTTCCAAAAACCAGTCCTAATTCCCAAACAATCTTTTCAGAAGTTGCATCAAACATAACTCTATTTGGGGTTTTCTTCCTCCTAACAGGTTTATGCACTACTTGATCAACCTCTTCACCATCTCCCCAACCTGTTTCATCATCTATTTCAAAGCTAGGAGCTTCATCACTTAGATAGTAAGGTTCATCACCTCCTAGCTTACCAACTAAGCTTTCCCTAATACCAATATTTGTCTCATCATACCCTATATCTGGACCTTTTTCATCAACATTAATCTGATATGAATTAGTACCTCTACTTGTCCTTTGTGACCTTTTGAAATGCCTCTTGGATGCCCTTATATCTATAGACTCTTGATGGATATCACTGTCAACCTCAGTATCTTTATTAGTATCCCCTTCAGATCCTGATTCATCTTCTGCTTCATCATCAGTTGGATCATTATCTATTATAGGATCATATGAAGGTACAAAGGAAGGAGGAGGCACAGTAGAAGGAGAGCGTGGAGGCACAGTGGAATGAGGAGGTACAGTAGAAGAAGAAGGCACAATAGAAGGAGATGGTGGAGGCACAAAGTAGACTGGTCTTCAAATGGAATGCTGGAAGTTTCAGAAAGACCAGTTGTAGGGATAGGAAAAGTAGAAGTAGGAGGCTGATTATTAGGGTTAGAAGCCTCATTAAAAGATTCCTCACCTACCCACTATCACTCACATTGGGGACAAACTCCAATTCAAGTGGGGCCTGATTGGCTTCACTAACCCCATGAAAAACATACACCTCTACTGTATCCCCATCATTTATCATATTGAAAAAGGTCAAATATAACCTTATCATTATCAACAAGGACTAATAACCCATCCCACTTGATGAAAAAATCACAATCTACTATATATCCTAGTTCATTTATGTAGCCCCTCAACTCAAAATAAGACATCCTATCAACATCTACATCTAGGAATTCTGTCACATGCCCCCCAATATATTTAGGTGGGGGACCAAATTCTATTACCCCCCCATGATACCATCTTAGAGTTATCAGAGTAAAAGCCATCCTGAAAAAGCATGTAACAAAGACAAACACAATTCAAACACACATTTCAAGAACAAAACAAACAACAGTAGCAGTAGCACTAACATTTAGCCCCATCACTAACAGAACAAAAGACTGTTTACAAATGTATAATGTACAAATTAAAGTCTACAAATGTATAAGCCCCAACACTAACATTTAGCCCTAACAGTAACAACGAATGTATAAGAGACTAACAGTACTAACATTTACCCCCATCACTAATAGAACAAAAGCACTAACATTAGCAGTCGATAATGTACAAATTGAAGTCTACAAATGTATAAGAGACAAATAATAAGATTCGAACTAAATGGATAACATCAAACCCTAACCTAAAACACAATCACTAATAGTCGCACTAAGTCGACAACACAAAACCCTAATCACTAATAGTCGCACTAAGTCGATAACACAACACCCTAACCCTAATAGTAACAACGAAAAACCATAATATCCTAACAATGGCAACTATTGGAGGTCGATTCCAACACTTTTACTCTATAATAATCCCTAAAATCATAATAATCGAAAAAAGAGAAGATCTTTATCATATGATGTAGAGCCCTAACCTGTTAGACCTTCAATCTCCAAGAATCTTCACCAAGACACATCAACAATGAGATTATCAACACCAACACGATGAGAAATCGTTTCAATTTCTTCAGATTTTAGGAAAAGTTGAGAAAAATAAGAAAAGGAAAAAGAGAAACGACTTTTCTTCAAAGAACAGGTCGGGTCGAGTCGGGTCGGGTCAGGATCGGGTCGGAATGAATTCTATCACAGGGAGTGAGCAACACGCGCCACTACATAGACGAGGGAATGGGTCAAAATGGCCCATTTACAACGATATTAAATAGTTCTGTGGGGTGATAGGACACTTTGAAAGTTAAGGTGTCTTTATGAAAATACGGGACAACTTTAATTGTGTCTTTATGTCTTCACTCTTTGGATAACATTATCATGTACTTTATATTGATCATATTTGTTGTAGATATAAATGAGTAATATGAACTGCAAATTAGTAAAATTGTTCTTAAACTATAGCATAATCAATTTTTCTGCTATTGGAAAGAAGCTAAAATTTTCTACTTCCTAGTAAAG